TTAACTTGATTATAAATGATGGGTAACTGAAATGATGACTGAAATTCATATTTACAATAAAGAATTTAGAATGAAAACTTTTATCTGCAGTTGTCTTCATGCATCAGTAATAATTTCACTTCCTTCTATAGTGAAAACCGCATAAAGGAACAAATTATGAGCTATATACAATAGCTGTTAAAGGCTGCATTACTTCTACATTTTAAAAAGCCTTCTCGCTTAATCTAGTTCACGCAAGAAAATGCAAAGAAAATAATATCCTGTTGAGAGAGACGCATGTGTTTCTCATAAATTAAATGGAGCACGATTCCGATAATCCGATACCATCAACCAGTAGCTTTTTCTGACTAAAAATAAACAAATTAAAAACAGTAAAAAAAAGTGTTTATCGTGCTTCTGATTAGAAACTTCTCAAATCATATCTCGAGATTCTGACAAGACACTATGGATCATACCTCGTCAGGGCTCTGATGAGCTGGTAGCCACTCAACACTGACAATCTTGACAGCTCTGCCGTGCGAGGTGTGAACTAACATGTTTCCCTGGCAACGCGCTAGCCTTACTACGCTGGCTCGTCTCTCAAGCGGAGTGCCGGTGTTGGAGCACTCGGACGGAGGCAAGAGTTCGTGAAGTGACTGTAGATGTAACTTTTGCAAGGGCAGAAGATAAAACTGATGTAGTAGCAGCAGTTTCAACCGATGCAGGGGCAGTAGGAGGTTTAACAGGTATAGTCGCAGTAGATAGCGGAACTGGTGTTGTCGCAGCAGGACGTGTGACAGGTGTCGTCGCAGCAGTAAGTGTAACTGGTGTATTGGCAGAAGAATGTGTAACATGTGCAACAGTTGCAGAGGGTATAACTGCAGCAGCTGCGCATTAACAATATCTGCGCACAAGCCGACCCAGAAGGCTTGGCCAACCTCTGCAAACATAGTACCGCCAATACTTCCGGTTCCAGCAACCGCCTACACTCTGAAGCCACTCGCAGCTACAATAAACCTGTTGCAGGTCACGTGTTAGGTCGCGTGAGGATGAATGAATCGAGCACCTTCACCAGCGTCAGCGTTGCAAAACTGTCAGCGTCGTACGCAAACAATCGAAGATACAATAAACCTGTTGCAGGTTACGTGTTGGGTTACGTGAGGATGAATGAATCGAGCACCTTCATCTACGTTAACGTTGTATAACCGTCAGCGTCGTACGCTAGCCTAATACTTTTTAAACTTGAGCCTAATTCTCACTCGTGCATTATCCAGGGCCCAGGGAACCAAGTTTGCTTCATCGGCGCTACTTTCGAAGAAAGCAGACGCGTATTGGCCACAAATCACAATTAACACATTCGTGTTGTTCATAAATCTATATCGAGTTCAACGACCATCAAAGCACGGATGGCACTCCACAGATTCCAAGAATTACGACATTGAGTAGGCATTAAATGATTAAACAACGGACAAGAATGGGCTTGTGAATGAATGCAATGATCTTCTCTTGGTTTCAAAATTGTCATCAATCGTCTTGCAACTTGCTCCTTACAATGGGTTCACTTTCAATGCTCTGAGATCGGCAACCCGAAAACGAAGTCATGTTCAGTGACCGTTTTGTGAACCGGTGATCTAACACAATGGTTAAAACAGGTCTACACCATTCGATGCAACTATAGATAAATACAACATTAAAACGAGTACACGCTTGGAGCTTGGTGGCATATTCTAAAAATAAAACGACAAGGTTATTTAGAAGAAAAATTAGAAGAAAAAGCAAGCTCTAGTTCAGGAAAGTAGACACACGAACACTCTACATCCCTAAATTTATCAAAGAACTGCTGTTATTTCAAAAACACATTGCACAGCAAAAGTAGTTCGCTTCAAAGTGCACCGTTACTTCCAGGAAATGTAACTTCCGACATCCGGTCTCGGCGAACACGCGTTTCCGACACTGACGGTTGACGTCGGTCACGGCAATATTTATTCTAGTGTTTTTTACTGACACACACAACTAACTTATCGATCGTAAATGTAAACGCTAACACAGATTTTTACAAATTATACCAAAAAGTCTCTCCGGTGCAATTCAAAAGGGACCTGGAACACATGAAAAGAAGAAGTGGACCGCAATAGTCACAGCACATGCGCCGGTCACGCAACAACTACCGAGAGCCCGAGAATGGCACGACGCAACACCGGCGTCTCCCCACCTCCCTAACCCCCTCACTCTCTTGGAACTTTGCAAAGCCCCACTTCTCCCCTTCCGTATGCTCTTTATGGGGGAGTTAAATGGCTTATAATAATATATATATCTTAGCAAAGCCCCACTCCTCCCCTCCCGTATGCTCTTTATGGGGGAGTTTAATTGCTTATAATATATATATATATATTGACAATTTGCTGCCGGAATTGTTTAGTTTCTGGATTTTAGTGAACTTGTTCTTCTGTCACGTCCACACCTAGTGGATAATTAATGGAGCCATAAATTAAATTAAATTGTAGAATGCAGGAGTAAATGAAGCTGTGCGATGTTTTGTTTTCAAGGCCAACAAATTATTTTCCTTTGAATACTTTCAATACTTATTGGGGGATATGAAATGTTCGTAGTGACTTCCGCTACATTTATATACAATACAATTTCTAAAAATACAATTATTTCAATTTCATCCCAAAAATATAATAATACTGTATTTTGATTTTGAATTAAAAATCATTTCCTGCAAACATTGTGACAAAGATGACAAAATTTCTCCCAATCGTGAACCATTTTCAAGTTATTACATATTGAAACGTGTTTTTATCATTTACTAATATTTTCAGAGTACATCCACCACTTCTATTAAGACAGGTAAATTAATCCTGGCGTGAGATAACAGATAACGTGAATGAGGCCACCATCGTGCTAATGCAATATACGCTGCAGTGCGATGAGTATGTGTTTCTAGAGCAATAAACAACAGCATAAATTTATATCGCAATTATATAATAACATTGCGATGATAGAAAATCATAGCACTGCAAGCGGGCAACCACGTCGTAAGTTAACAAAGAGCAAATACAGTGGGGAAATAAATATTCGTACACTTGAAAAATCGTATTTTAATGTATGTAAGTACACAAACTTAACAGGAAAAGTGATTTAAATTATGTATAGAGACGCATAGTATTCAAAAATACCTNAGCCGCAGTGAAAGCAGCGTTAAAAACAGCAGCAGTGCAGGCAGCAGCGTTAAAGACAGCAGCAGTGAAAGCAGCGTTAAAGACAGCAGCAGTGCAGGCAGCAGCGTTTAAGACAGCAGCAGCGTTAAAGACAGCAGCAGTGCAGGCAGCAGCGTTAAAGACAGTAGCAGTGAAGGCAGCAGCGTTAAAGACAGCAGCAGTGCAGGCAGCAGCGTTAAAGACAGCTCTATAAGGAGCAGCACACAGCAGCACCGTCGCTGCCGAGCACCAGAAGTGCTCTGGTGCAGTAGTGTGCTGGCGCTCATATAAATACCCTCGGGACAGGGGCCCTAGGCTTGGTTAGCTCGTGATAACAGCCACGAGATAAGCGTCAGATAAGCCAGCAGTGAAAGGCGAGAAAATGTCTCGCCACTTCTATATTAACATGTTTATGACATGATACTGGAAATTATGGATTTACCACCGGAAAAACGTTGGCTTCGTGATAGTATCCAAGTCATTCTTGACATATCATTAAAACAGGAAGTGATTTATCTATCTTTTTAATTGGCCAGGTATAATCCCATTCATGAGTAACTTAGATAATTTGTGCGGTTGATACGAAGTATTAACGATCATGTTCATTGAAATTAAATAATATTTCAATTTTTAATAATAATAAGCCTCAACAACAATCCTTCATGAAATTTTGTGCCACTTTTCCAAGAATTGCATCACAGTCGCGATCAATCAATAGGCACGTATAACAGTAGAACAATCAACCACTCATTTTTATTTTTGCGAGATCACGCAATTCGTCGCTATTTTCTCCATTATCAATGAAGAAAATAACATTTTCATTTTCTCGGATTTTGTTGAACACTATAAAGTGTAGCGTGCATCACGCCTATAACACGTTGATAACATGACGGCTGGTTGATAACGTAACGGCTCAAAGATCCGCTGATAACGGCTATCATGACTAACCGGTTTAGTTGCAGGTGATAGTGCGTGGTCAGACTGTAATTTCTGTAGTCTTAAAGTAATCCTCTTAGCGATAACCTTTTCATAACCGATCAATGGCATTAAATAAACTTTCAATAATTGAAGCTTATAGGCTGAAAGTATAAGCCTAATCTTAAACCGATTCGTTCATTTGAATATTACTTGTAGTAGCAAGCAAGGCAGTAATTAAGAACCTGCATACAAGAGTAACGATGTCATTACAACTGTTAAGGCGCGAATATTGACCTTATTTACTCTCTTTGCTGGAACGGTCAACGCTAACGCGTTACTTCATGTACTTTAATTGCTTTTCAATAATCTAAAGAATTATAGTTAATATTCAATGAACATTATTTTTGATTGTAATACTCTCAAAAAACAATAATTTTTTTTAATAATATACTGAAATTTAATTATAATTCAATACCTTGATGAACGAAAAAAATTATTCGATACTTCAAACGTCCATTGAACGTAGAAGATATAACTCAGTACTCACTGCAGTGAGTGACAGAGAGCGCATTTTCTCGTCGACGAAAACGTGAAGTCACGGACGGACAGACAGAGACAGACAGACAGACAGACGGACGGACAGGCAGACAGACGGACAGACAGACAGACAGACAGACAGACAGACAGACAGACAGAGACAGACAGACAGACGGACAGACAGACAGACAGACGGACAGACAGACAGACAGACAGACAGATGCACAGACAGACAGACAGACAGACAGACAGACGGACAGGCAGACAGACAGACGGACGGACGGACAGACGGACATGGCGAGCACAATAGTGCATTTATGTCATAAATGAGAAAATGCGCTAAAAATGACGCAAGGAATCACGCACCTGAATGTGGGCGACAGCGGCGGGCGTGTCGGTGTCAGACGAGCTGGACGACGCGGACGACGACGAGGAGGACGGCAGGTCGCCGTCATGTGTCGCCAGGGGGGCGAGGGACGACGAGGCGCCAGCGGGGTACGAGCTGATAAAATCGTACTCATAACATTAGCGATATAAAAATTTTGTAAATTCATTTAAATAGTAAAATATATTGTATATTATATTAAATATTCATTTAATTGAGTAGCATCGATCAAACCCTTCCAACCCTACTACCGAAAGAGTGGCTGCTGGCATCAATAGGACCCTTTCAAGCCTACTATCGATTGTGTCACATCGAGAGAACCCTTTTAACGCTACAAGTTTCTCTCATAGAATGCATTGAGCCCCATAATTAGCATTTAGCATCGCTAATTTTATTAATGTACAGATTGGTTATAATATTCACGGCACCACCGATCACTTTTAGTTTCCTGAGTGTAGGGTTTACACCGTAATAATTTACGTTTGTGATGATGTAACATCGCAGCATCACGCAAATTTCGGATCCTTATGTCATTCATTCGCAGAGTTCAGTTAATCATGTGATTATTGAATAGGTAACATTTTTTTATGCGGGAACCGTAGTCATGAGTACAGCTTCAGACGAGTTGGTATATATCGGATGAATTATTTAAATGAAATTATTTTTTTATTGCTTCAATTGTCCGGTGTCATCGTAAGCGAAAAATACCGTTCAGCTTTATAGATGTGCTTGACTCCCAAGCTTCTAATTACAGCATTACTTTAATTAAAGGCATTTTTTTTAACTCTCCGAGTTGTTTTGACCGCTCAGTGAAGACTATTTATTTAAATTTGTAAAAATAAATAAAAAAATGTTTAGTAAGAGAAATAAAAACAGCTATAAGAAACAACACCCAACTGGCATCATACAGACGCAAATAAACGACATAATATTTCGACAACATAATCGCCAATCAACAACAATTAAATGTTCGACTAGGACCACCTCCATTAACAATCTCTCGTAGCAATCTTGATCTCTGAGTCTTACACCAATATTTTGAATAATCCTAATCTTTCGCCAAAGCATCATCGTACCTGAGCAGTTCAAAGCACCAAATCATTCTGGGTGATAAAAATAATTCTTATCATTTAAGTATTCTTAGTCCTATCATCCAGGTTTTTCCTTTTGAATAAATTATTAATAAGTCCCAATTATGAACTCTTGTTCATCATGCATTGGCGACATCACTCTCAAGAAAATGAGTGTGTCATATTGTCGTAACAGACGAACTTTTTACACGTATCACCGACACGCTCGAATGCCGGACTAAACTGGGATACTTGGTTAGGATTACCCACAGAAGAAGCAAAAAATGCGTCGATATTCAGAATTTCTAATTTGATTTGGAATTTCTAATTTTATTTGGAATTTCCAATTTCATTCGGAATTTTTAATTATATCTGATATTTCCAATTTTATTGGAAATTTCTAATTTTATTTGGAATTACTACTACTTTTATTTGGAATTTCAAATTTATTTGATATATCTAATTTTATTCGGAATTTTTAATTTCATTCGAAATTTCCAATTTTATTTGAAATTTCCCATTTTAATAGAAATTTCTAATTTTATTCGGAATTTCTAATTTCATTCGAAATTTCCAATTTTATTTGGAATTTCTAATTTTATTATGAATTTCAAATTTTATTTGGAATTTCTAAATTTAATTTATTTATTTTTTATTAGTGCAAGACTCAGCACCTTCCGTTGGAAGAGCAGAGGACGGACGGCAGGGCGACGGAGGACTCCTTGGACGCCACGGAGGACGAGTGCAGGGGCGAGGGGACGGTGGACGGCAGCAATGACAGGACGGACGGTAGACGGGCGGGCGTCGAGGGACGATCAGCGACGCTGGCGACCATAGACGAGCTCACGTCCTCCGTGGTGTCGTCCATCGAGCCGTCCATGTTGCTGTCACGGAACACTCGTCGGTCATACATACTTGTTGTATAATCCTCACCAGCCCTAAAGCAGCTTCAAGCAACCCTCCAGTTTGGAAATAACCCCTTCCCCACAACCTCTCTCATGTGGGGCATATCACCACCACCTCCACCTCTTCACTCCCCTTCACACCACCTCCCCAGGAGCCCTCACAGTTGGAGCACATCACCTCCCCACCACAACCTTCTCCACCTAGCCACCCCTCTTCACATCACTTCTACCACCACCACCTCCACCTCTCCACTCCAAAACCCCCCTTCCCACCATCTCCTTCACCTCTCCACCCCAATTCACACCACCTGCCCACCACCACCCCCCTTCACACAACCTCCCCACCACCACCCCACTTCACACCACCTCCCCACCACCAACCCACTTCACACCACCTCCCCACCACCACACCCCTCACAGTTGGTGGTTGCCGCCCTCGGTCCAGGCGAGCTTGGGTGTGGCGGGCAGCGACGTGACGCGGTAGCCGCAACTGTCGCTGCGACTGCGCGTGCCGGGACCTGCTCATAGTTAATGATTAATACAAGTGATGATAATTAATACAAGTGATAATAATTAACACATTATATTATTATATATAACTAGGCTTACAATACGCCTAGTTTTAAACTTGCTAAGTTTTTGGTACCTGTTTTGAACTGTCTCACGACTAATAAGTATACTGTAGACAATTCTTATACGTTTGTGGACCGCTAACGAGTGATATTATTAATTAACACAAGTTTTATTACAAAAACAAATTACTTTAATAACTGACACATGTTACAATAATTAACACCAAATTTTGATAAATAACAAAAGTAAAATAATTAAAACAAGTTTTAATACTTATAAAGAAACAACAATAAACACAAGTATGACCATAGTAATGTATTTTAAAATAAAAATATACCCGAGTAACTATTTGACGAATACCAGGTAAGTTGGCATTACATTAAAATAGGTATTTGAGTAGAAAGAAGTCATGAAGTTGCATGCAGTAACTGCGCAAAATAAGGGCCTATAAATCAGAATAATTCTACTATTGGACATCGATGCACCAAAAAAGAAATAAAATAGCATTTATTAGAGAAGTTCTTGCAATTAATTCTATTGAGAGAGAGAAAGCTATGGAGTGCACTGCACTTACAGTGTACAAACGAATCACGCGCAAGAAATTTAAAAACAAAGACAATATCACAAAAATTCACCATTTCTTTCTAAAGAAAACGTTTTAGAGTCCAGCTCCGTCCAGGTCGGAGTCCAGCTGGACAACGAAACGTTTTCTCTTGTAGAGAAATCCCGGGCAATGGATAACAATTAAAAGAATTATTTGCAATTAAATTATTAAGAGAGAAGCGATAATATACCTGCAGAGGCTGTGTGGGAGCGTTTGCCGGCATGGCTGCTGTTGCTGCCGCGGCCCCCAGCGACCGCCGCGCCGTTGGTGCTCAGCGCTGCTAGACTAGCTTGCTTCGATGGCGACCTAAAATACAGCAGCGTTATACAACTCAATACTGATATATTAACCTCACCATCTATATATTCACATCGTCATTTAATTATTTACATATCATTTATATATTCAAGTTCGTTAACAGACTAGTTTGATTCGATTCGATGGCGACCTACAACACAGAAGCGTGATACACCTAAATACTTATAAACTCAACTCATTACTGGTGTATTAACCTCACCATTTATATAATCAGATCGTCATTTACTTATTTACATATCATTTATATCTTCAAGTTCGTTACCAGACTAGCTTGATTCGACAGCGACCTACAACACAGTAGCCTGACACGTCTTCTTGTTAATATATTCAAAAACTAAAAATGATAACACAAAGAACAGACTATTGATAAACATTATTATAATTAATCTAGTAAAATTTACGCGTAATTTATCCGTAACTTTACGTTGGACTTAGTAACAACTAGGCAAGCGGCATATCGATATAATCATCACTCATTCCAGTAACTCTGAGGAAACAGGACATGAAATACTATGATGTATCAAATTTCCGAGGTGAAGGTAAAGCAGGGATTGCATGTTTGATATTCAATAAATTTAAATTCACAACCAATCGATAATTGCATTTTTCATGGTAAAAATGTCCACATTTCAATGATCAGCAAAATTGCAGCAAACATTTCGGTTGGCGCATCATCATCATCACCCCACACATGTTATTAGAAAGTCTGCTTTGTACAAGCGAAAAATTTTAAATTGTTACATTATTCTGCGATCAAATATACCAAATATATCATACAATCAGAGCTGGGCAGCGCTACTTTGAAATGTAGCGCCGCTACCGCTACTGAAAATGTAGCGGCCGCTACATGTAGCGCGCTACTGCCCACCTCTGCATACAATACGTTCGAAAATGATCATGAGATGAGAGGACTGAGCCGAAAAGTAACGTTTCAGTGAGGGTCGTTAAAATGTTTTTAAAATGAAGATGAAGAAATACAGCGTTTCTAAGACTGAGTGATGCATTTGCAAGAAATAAATCCTACTAATCGTACAACTGACGTTACATCACCGTTGAATTGAACGTTATTTCAAAGTCATTAACCCTTTACCGCCTGACACGAGTAACCGGAGCAATATTGTCACGCGCCTACTTCCCAAAAAGGATACGTTCTAGTGAGCGCAAAATGACTTGCACTGATGGTTGCCGCCACGTACGACAACTTTAAAATGTTCTCTGTTGCGTACAAACGTCCTCAGGTTGCTACACTCGATAGTTTACGTATAATTCAAGTTGAAAGTTATGTTCCCGGAGAGTGACACACGACGGTAGAGGGTTAAGCTGCTATGTACAATAACACGACACAGCCCAGTAAAGGACCAAGGATCACCTGACAAATGTTCGCACACTTGGAGACGAGGCGAGCGTTTTCTTGGCCTCCAGCAGCGTCTGGTGCTGCGTACGGCCGCTGTACCAAAACTTGCTGCCCAGACCCAACAGTGGCCTGTACAGTGTACAGTACCTTACTTTATTGGCCATTACAGTACAGCAGTGGCCTGTACAGTGTACAGTACCATACCATTACAGTACAGCAGTGGCCTGTACAGTGTACAGTACCATACCATTACCGTACAGCAGTGGCCTGTACAGTGTACAGTACCTTACTTTATTGGCCATTACAGTACAGTATTGGCCTGTACAGTGTACAGTACCTTACTTTATTGGCCATACTCAACATTACCGAACTTAACCGGTCACTGGTTGTAAAAGTATCCGACACAAAAAGGAAAACTTCATTTAATTCAAGCTTATTTAGCAAAATAACATAAATAAATACTATTCTAATGTAAACTTACATGGGAAATACAAATATCAAATCAAAACAACAATATCATTAAATGTTTACTTAATAATTGTAATTTTGTATAATTTTTGTAAGGTTCAAAAGTATGTAGTTTTTCCTTTGTGTCGGATACTTTTTGTATCCACTTTACGGTATACGGTCTCACTCTACTTAATTGACGCTACTCTATTTAATTGGCCACACTCTACTTAAATGCCATAATCTACTAAAATGGCCTACATTACCCACCATGCAACATTTCTATCGTGTGACATCCTAGGCAGTAATGAAAATAAAATAATTCAAAGTAGATATTCTCGTCCCAAATGAAGAATACTAATGTTAGTAAATTCATCACAAATCAACATGAATCATTCACACAAATGTTATGGGAAGCCTAAACAGTCATTAAAAGGAACAATAAGTTCATGAATATTTACATGTCCCACATGAATTAGAACATAGGAAGTTTGTCTAAAATACCAAAAAAGGTTTACTACCTGAAGTTAGTAAATATGTCTAAAATCATCATGAATATTTCATACGAATATAATGAGAAGCATGCGGACCTTTTAGGTGGCGGGCGGGGCGTATGAAGACGGAAGAAAGTGTGGTGCTCCACGCAAGACTTCCACAGACACTTGCACGCTCGGTATGATGGCAGCGTGAACACCAGCACACTCTCGTACGTCTCGCACTGTAAGACGGAAATTACAGTACATTACACTAGTTATACATTTCATTTGATTGTACAAGGTATGAAATTTATTTTAAATACCAGCACGCTCTCGTACGACTCGCACTGTAACACGTAACGTACAGTACACCAGTTGGACACTTCATTAGATAGTACAGGGTTTTATATGGGTTTATTTAAAATATTAATGTTCATGTCTGGGAGGAAAAACATTTGGAGATTAGCAATCAATGTACATAAAGGATTTTCAGTGAAAATTAGCTATTTATTTAAGTACTTCAGTTGAGGAACATGATACTCGGAATGATATAATAACAGCTAAGTGCAAAAAGTTCTATCTGACAAGTAGATTTATACGTATAAGTAAACCTGAAATGCTTAATACTTTCATAATCACGCACCACTTTTTTCAACACCCAACAAAAATTAGTAAAAATAAACAGGTTTATATTTTTCACAATTCAAATACGGCGTTGAGGTCAATAAATTAATTATTTATCACTACAAGGCCATTTTATGCTCTAAGATCACATCAGTCTTATGAAGCTGCTGCTTTCAAAAATAAAAATAAATCGTTTAACTCAGTGTCAAGATTAAACTCGACAGCCGGACAGTTTGTTCTCAGTCAAATATTTTTAGGGTTGCCAACATAAAAGTCAAAGAAATTACTCGGGGAATGCCAAGGCAGGGATACAAACCAGCGCTCACTTGCAAAAATAGGATTGGGAGTAAAACTTTCGTTGCATTAAAAGCTGGGTCAAAAGGGATTGTAGTTACGTCAAAGTACGTCTTTGAAAAACGTAAACTTTCGTTGCATTAAAAGCTGCGTCAAAATGGATTGTAGGTATGTCAAGGTATGTCTATGAGAAACGTAAACGCGGGGAATATTAATCAAATCCTTTGAAAAAACATTAATCAAAAGCAAAGGGGTTGAGAGTGGGGTATGCGAGAGAACACACCACTCACTCTCTACCTTGCCCCACATTTTCTTCCTCAGGTTCTGCAAGAATGAAGCGGGCTTCATGAACGCGATCTCGTGGGACAGCTCGCTGTCACTGCCGTCCTGAACCTAACCTCGCGGATATGAGATCAACAGATTCAACACTTATGAGATCAGCAGATTCAACACTTATGAGATCAACAGATTCAACACTTCAACTCAAGCCCCGGACAGCACACGGTCATGTTCAAAGAATAATCGAGGGCAAGTTTACCGTAAAAACGGCAGTGTGATGAGAAATATTTCACTTGAAGAGAAATAACTCAAAAAAGATCCATTACTGATTGGGATAAGCTACACTAAATTGCTCATACACTTTTTTATTGGAAAGAGTTTACTGAACTGATAAGTAAAAGACAGATCTATTTCTTTCTCTCGAGCACCTCAACTTTTCACAATTAATCCTATACAGCTAATAATTTCTACGCAACAACGTGTGCTTCGTGGAATACGAAACACACGTAACTCAGTTAAAAAAAGGAGAGTAAGTATATAGTAAAAAAGTAGTAAAAGTTCAGTTAAAAAAAAGTAAAGTAGTAAAAAAAAAGTAAAGCTCAGGCGCTCCAACTCTAGTCAAGAAACCAGAGGCGAATCATTTATAATGTCAGCAAGAGTGAGCACTCAGCTAACAAGCAGAAATATTCTCGAAAAATATTCTGAATATTTTGGAGATATAAAATCAGTTGTGCGAGTAGTAAAAGGCGGGTTGGGCTCACTTTTTTCATGTCTAATGGGATGCATTTCACGTGATGGCAATAATGAGAGTTTCCAGCATAGCTGATTGCCAGAAGCCCGCAAGATATTGACAAGCTAGCACTTCAATTAAAACTAAAATTAAGTTTGTGTCAATGCTCTGCATCAAAAATATTCTAAATGCATCAACCCGAGCAGTGCACATATTAACCCTCTACCGCCGTATGTCACTCTCCGGGAACTTTCAACTTAAATTATACGTAAACTAATGATTGTAGCAACCTGAGGACTTGCACTTTCAACTTAACCCTCTACCGCCGTATGTCACTCTCCGGGAACTTTCAACTTAAATTATACGTAAACTATTGAGTGTAGCAACCTGAGGACGTTTGTACTTTCAACTTAACCCTCTACCGCCGTATGTCACTCTCCGGGAACATAACTTTCAACTTAAATTATACGTAAACTATTGAGTGTAACAACCTGTGTAAGTTTGTACGCAACAGAGAACATTTTAAAGTTGTCGTACGTGGCGGCAACCATCAGTGCAAGTCATTTTGCGCTCACTAGAACGTCTCCTTTTTGTGAAGTAGGCGCGTGACAATATTGCTCCGGTTATTCCTGTCAGGCGGTAGAGGGTTAACGCCTTAATAAAATTCGGATAATAGCAATCTTCGCGATGAAACTTAATTAGAGAGCAATATGAAGCGATGAAACTTAATTAGAGAGCAATATGAAGCGATGAAACTGAATTAGAGAGCAATATGAAGTATAACTAAAGAGCGAAGAGCATATGTACCTACCATTTCTCGGCGCAGTTGCATCATAAACTGCCGCCGCTTGAAGGAGATCTTGATAATTTTGGCCCACGAGAAGGTGTTCATGCGTACGCCGTTCATGATGACCACGACGCCGTTCGATGTCACCCCCAGGTTCAGGTCCCGGTCGCTTGAGTCCTGAATAAATCAACTTATGAAACATGGCACAGCTTAGCTCATTATATAGGTACAGGTTATAACTTGAGGTGTCAGACCATGGATACGAATTGTAATGAGAACGAATGTCTCCGTAGGAACATAGGTTAATGTCTCCGTAGGAACATAGGTTAATGTCTCCATAGGAACATAGGTTAATGTCTCTGCAGGAACATAGGTTAATGTCTCCATAGGAACATAGGTTAATGTCTCTGCAGGAACATAGGTTAATGTCTCCGAAGGAACATAGCTTAGTGTCTTCGTAGGAAGATTAATAGCAACGAGGACGATTAATGTTTCCATAGGAACGCTAACCAAGAAATGTGACGACATTAAAGCAAATAAATCTGATTTAAATGATAATATAAATAAACACATTAATGTCTTCGTAGGGGCATTAACCAAATAATAATCAATACTATCAGTATAGACACAATAAACGTCTAGACAATAATCGACTTATGCTATTTATGATGGTGAATAATTAATTATAAAATAACTAATTAAAATAATTAATGAATAAAATAAATAATGTAATAATTAATTAATATAATAATTAATAGGAATAAAATAATTAATGATGGTGAACACAATGAACCTTAGCAGCGTGCAGGTCCACACCGTACAGCTCGAGGCGCTTGGCGTGCCGCAGGAACTGAAACTCGGCTTCAGCGGGAGACTGGCCTCTGTATGATATACAAATGCTTCAATAACTGGCCTCTGTATGATATACAAATGCTTCAATAACTGGCCTCTGTATGATATGCAAATGCTTCAATAACTGGCCTCTGTATGATATACAAATGCTTCAATAAGAGGGTAATTACAGTATCACGTACTTCATATTTGTCTAACTACATCAAAACATATTTTCGGCGACTTTTCAGAACATTTCTTACGATTGATGAAAAAAAAGAGGTGAAGAATGTCAACTTCATAGCATTAACTTATTAACTTGCATTAAAAACATCAGGCATCGAGATGATATGATTTCATTCCGGCAGTTAAACTGACTGCTACGGCCACACGCTACACACTGCAGTAAGGTAATGTGCAGTGTAGCGTGTGGAGTAAACCCATTACCCGAGTAAAGGAGACCGATTACCATGCGTGGGGCTCACTAGTCGCTAGTAAGCTAAACCCATAACCCCACATTGGGCTCACTAGTCGCTAGTAAGCTAAACCCATAACCCCACATTGGGCTCACTAGTCGCTGGTATGCTAAACCCATAACCCCACATTGGGCTCACTAAAGTCGCTGGAAAGCTAAACTCATAACCCCACATTGGGCTCACTAGTCGCTAGTAAACTTAACCCATAACCCCACATTGGGCTCACTAGTCGCTAGTAAACTTAACCCATAACCCCACATTGGGCTCACTAGTCGCTAGTATTCTGAACCCATAACCCCACATTGGGCTCACTAGTCGCTAGTATTCGCTAGTAAACTTAACCCATAACCCCACTAGGGCTCACTTGTGCAGCTTATGAAGCTCGACGACTTTAGGCAGCATTTGAGGAGACACGGGCGGCAGCAGCTCTGCCTCCTTCACGTACTCCGTGCCGTGCTCCGTGGCGCTGTAGTCTCCTAAATCAGCTGCATACCACCACAATATTTCATTATTACAAGCGCCTTCTCATTTCTTCAATCTTATAATGAGACTAATTAAATTCAAAAAGCATACCCAAATAAATATATTCCAGTGAACCCATGATAGGATGTTAAAATAATGGAAGTTACGAATGATTCGGGAAGAGTCACTGGCATCAGACAACAATCATTCCACAATGCAATAGTTGCAATCATCAGAATCAACTAATAGCCATTCTACAATGCTAATGCATATTAAAACCATTAGAGCTAACTTACAATCAATCTACAACGCTTAGGTTGGAAATATTGTAAACAACCAACAGCCGTTCTACAACGCTCAAGTTGGAAATATTGTAAACAACCAACAGCCGTTCTACAACGCTCAAGTTGGAAATATTGTGAACAACCAACAGCCGTTCTACAACGCTCAAGTTGGAAATATTGTGAACAACCAACAGCCGTTCTCTTATACACATNCAACAGCCGTTCTACAACGCTTAAGTTGGAACTATGGAAATATTATAAAGAATCTACAGCCGTTCCACAACGATTATGTTGGAAATATTGTAAACAACCAACAACCGATCTACAACGCTTAAGTTGTAAAATTGTAACCCCAACCGTTGCTATGGAGGTCTCACAACCACATCCCATGTTGAGCTCAGCTCTGGATAGTTGTGCGGTTGAGGGTACCCAACTAATGCCCCATTTAAGCCCCGCCCACAAACAACATGATAGAAACGTTCCTCTGCACTTGCACATAATAGCATATGAAGTCAGCAACGTACATATACTGGAGCCCATATTGCTGCCACATACTGAATGTTATCTACTGCCACATGCCACACACTGCAGCCCATACTGCCACATGCCACACACTGCAGCCCACACTGCCACATGCCACACACTGCAGCCCACACTGCCACACGCCACACACTGCAGCCCATACTGCCACACGCCACACACTGCAGCCCATACTGCCACATGCCACACACTGCAGCCCATACTGCCACATGCCACACACTGCAGCCCATACTGCCACATGCCACACACTGCAGCCCATACTGCCACATGCCACATACTGTAGCCTCCTCCACACCAGCACGCCTCTTAATTAAGACACCATAGAGTCACTAACACACACTTCACTAACACACACTAACATCACTAACAGAGAACCACCACGTCACTAACACTGTAGTGCGTATGAAGCCAGCAGGGCGGCGGTGGTATCAGGTGCAGGTAGAGAACCATCTACCAGCATGCGTCGCAGCTGTAGTGTCACGTGGTAGCGCGTGTACTCGTCTGTCAGGCGGCCTGGGTCGCTCACCCAGAACTTTACACGTAGGTACAGCACTGGTAACTCGCCTGATGAATGCAGAATAACATTACCTTTCGTTATTATATGAAAAATTTTATATTTTTATCTTCAGGATACCGGCAGCTCGATTAAGAAATAAATAAGTAAATTATCATTCGTCATTCTGTGAAAAATTACACATTTCTATGTTTACAGTATATCATCGGCAGCTCGCCTGCAAAACATAATTACTTCAATAAGATTGGTGCGGCTATCAGAATTGTTATTTAAGGCGCAGCAGAATCCAGGTAAAGAACAAATAATGGAATTGCCGCTCGTACAATTGATCCAAATCATGAAATATTCGTATGCACAAGTTGATTTTTTATGTAGAAAAATTTATTATTCTATGCCATAAGTTCCATCGCAAAGCACGAGTTATGAATAAAAGGGTTAGTCCTCGTAGTTATATTGAATTTCACACAATAATAACAAATGTTCATGCTTATTTAGCTGAGATTTGCTCGATCTCGCTCAGAATCAGATGAAAATATTAAGAGATGCATGGCCTTGTTTAAGTTCAATGACACGAAAGCCACTGAGCATTGTTTTTACATGATTAAAATGCAGTAAAATGCAGAATGGGTAAAATTAAATTATGGCAAAATTTTAAGGTATCTAGCCTAAATAGCACCACGCCACGATATTCATACTAGTTAGTAATGCACTTAGTTTGCTAGCAAAAAATACATTAAGCATACAATCGTTGACTAATAAATAAATCCTATCAGTACTGTAGAAAATTGTAGTAAAATAGTGACAACCTCAAAAGCAAGCCACTATTTTTTCGGTGATAGTGATGTTGAAACTGATCAGTAAGAGATTGAGATCAGAGGTAAGAGATCAGTCTCAGTAAGAGATTCTTCACTAAGAACACCATCGTCATCAGTCTCTGGAGTTTGCGAGACCTCAAAACCGTATTCACACCACACTGCCGCGCCAGTAACGGTTCATTCAAATCTTCTTTAATACATTTCTGTATATAAGCATTCACACCAGCCGTGCAAGGCATTCGCCGACTGCCATGCCCATGGTGTGAAGGCTTTTATAGAAATTCACCAGAGAAATTAGACAGGATATCGACTGGCATATATGCCTGTGGCAGTGTGGTGTGCACCCGGCCTTGCTTAACAAGCACAAAAATGTAATATCACTCATTAATATTAAAGAACTTATTTAGTATTAATCAACAAGGCTATACCGTTTGCTGAGCCTGGAATTTTAGGGTAAACTTAATTAGTTGAGGAATAGGTCAAACAAAGAACATATATATTCCTTTACATTCATTTAAGGTATGGAATATCCACGTCTCAAGACGCATAGTGTTAGGCGTTATACTTCTAAACTGTATGCAAATTAGAAACAGCTCGATAACACGATTAAGTTGTATGAATTTTGAAAACAAAATCTATATTTTTCCATACAAAATAGGTTCACTGTTTAGTGGGTGCTGTAAAACATTCTGGCATGTACAGACAATAGAGTTGTAACGTATGCGAAGTGCATACAATAGAATTCTAACGTATGCGACGTACAGACAATAGAATTGTAACGTATTCGACGCAAAAGACAATGGAGTTGTAACGTATGCGACGCAATAGATAGTCAGGGCTAAAATCAAGTTCTCGTGGCCAGAGAGAGCTAAGTCCTGCTCTCTCTACCAGCCGTCTTTCCTCCCGCACTGTCAGCATCTGTACACTCAGTAAATTAGTGAGACTTGGTCTAAAAAATGATGCACTTCTACCCTTATTTGGGTCATTTGACCCAGCTTGGTCCGAAAGAGCGAAGTAGTATCAGTGATACATACATCAGGCGTGTCACTATTTAGACAACATGACCCATCTTTTTAGCGCATTTTCTCATTTATGGAAAAAAATGCCCTATTGTGCTCGTCATGTCCGTCTGCCCGTCCGTCCGTGACTTCACGTTTTCGTCGACGAGAAAATGCGCTCTCTGTCACTCACTGCAGTGAGTACTGAGTTATATTTTTCGTTTTCTCCATGCCATTGAAACATCCATACTGAGGATATTGCAATAGCTTGTCTTGATAACGCGGAATCTGTAATGAGTCCTAGCGAAATTATTGACGTGTAATTATAATGCAACGCATTTGATACATCCTTGAGTTTGTGTGGAGCATAAATCTCTATATCTGAAGCATGTTTCGTGTTACTGATGCCAAATATCATTAGGTTTATTAAAGTAACGAGTCATTTCAAAAAGCAACATTCCCGGATTTTTGACTTGCATTTAAAATACAGTAAATGATTGAATAAGGCGAGACACCATTTCTCATTCTCGCTGACCATGTACAGCATACACACTGAGAAATGAGCGAGTCTTTGTCCAATTATTGCTTCACTTTCTGCACTTGTACTGACACAGTTTTTCCAACATAAGGGCGCATAGGTTCGGTCTCTGCTCATGCTGCGGGTAGAACGTGCGTCGCAATTCGGACAACGTAACCCACGTATTTGTCTGAGCGAGAGCGTATCCGGCACAGCTGATTGTCAGACGCTGACAGGATCTTGGCAAGCTGGCAGCTCGCTCAGTACTTGGACTAATATTTGCAGGCATTTCTCTATACTATGCGTATTAAACGACATCAAAATTATTAAAAATGGAGCCGGGAGGTTAGCTTCCTACCGTCATTTCGATGCGACCGGGACGAAACGTAAAATGGATTAGTATATTGATATGTCCTAAGTGTCATATGAAAATTGATATACGTTTGCAATGCAAAAAAATCATCGTATATTATCTATTATAATCTTGGTACAATAGAGCTTTATGGCTCATCATAGAGTACTACACAATCATTTTATTAATTTCAGCACGACTATTAATTGCAAACATATAAAATTAAGCGACTCGAGTTGTAGGCGTATGTTCAAAATTAAAGAATGCAATAGCAAAAGACCCAACAAATAATCCATCATACAACAATGAAGAACCATAAAACAATCAGGATTATTCTGGACTCTATAAAGGAACTTACACGTGTCGATGGTCCGACTGTGAATGCGGAGTTGTTTCTTCACTGATTTAAGCGGGTCCAGCCATCTCTGAAAAAATATTATTATTACTACTACAAAAATATTACTATTTTTATCATTAATAATTATCCGACGGAAGATATTTTAATTCAATTGATAGTGCTAAGTATAGAATTTAGTCCTGAAGTAACATTAGGTAAAAATATCTACGCTTTTTCAAGTCTTTAGTAATGAATGACTTCCTGAGAAAGATAAAAAATTCACGCCTTATATCTCACTGCGGAGCTTCTAACGTATTTACGACGTAACCAGGCCAACGCACGAGATGTTAATTGAAGAGAAATATATGGAAGAGAACGGGAGGAGGTGTTATGAAGCAGCAGCAATAGAGCAGCAGAACATGAGCAGCAGCAGAACATGAGCAGCAGCAGAACATGAGCAGCAATAGAGCAGCAGAACATGAGCAGCAATAGAGCAGCAGAACATGAGCAGCAGCAGAACATGAGCAGCAGCAGAACATGAGCAGCAATAGAGCAGCATAACATGAGCAGCAATAGAGCAGCAGAACATGAGCAGCAATAGAGCAGCAGAACATGAGCAGCAATAGAGCAGCAGAACATGAGCAGCAATAGAGCAGCAGAACATGAGCAGCAATAGAGCAGCAGCAGCAGCATGGCAGTATAGAGCCTGAGTGGCCGCTATGTGGCACAATTTATATCAGTTAACCCGTCACGCCTTCGCCACACAGCCGCGACGCGGTGTATGCCACTTTGCCACACATCATACAAGATATGAACACACATTAGTCTGAATAATATGAATATTTCATAAAATTTTCGCTATATCTCAATCATACATAGATGACGAAATCGGGTAATTGTAATTTATTACAATTACACTTAATTACTACAGTAACACACAATTCATTTTACTTAACTTACGAAATCATTCTGATTATAGTAACGAACAAGGAAAAGCATGTACGAATCTTCAGCTACAAGTTTCGACTCTCGTACAAGCTTGAACATATCGAGTGCCGTAAAGCGTGCGTTCGCACTTCAACTTAATTAAACAAACAAGCACACACCCGCTTGCCTGCTGACTTCACAACTCAATAAAAAGCATTACAATTGCCTCACGTACACTTCATTGGAACAGATTCTAGTGTTCGGGAGGATATTATTGTGTTCGAGAGGACATTTTTGTGTTCGAAAGGATATTATTGTGTTCGAGAGTATATTTTTATGTTCGAGAGGACATTGTGTTCGAGAAGATATTTGTGTTCGTTAGGGCATTTTTTGCGTTCGAGAAAACATTATTGTGTTCCAGGGGACATTTTTGTGTTCGGGAGGACATTATTGTGTTCGGGAGGACATTTTTGTGTTCGGGAGGACATTTTTGTGTTCGGGAGGACATTTTTATGTTCGGGAGGACATTTTTGTGTTCGGGAGGACATTTTTGTGTTCGGGAGGACGTTTTTGTGTTAGTGAGGACGTTTTTGTGGGACGTTTTTGTGTTAGGGAGGACGTTTTTGTGTTAGGGAGGACATTTTTGTGTTAGGGAGGACGTTTTTGTGTTAGGGAGGACGTTTTTGTGTTCTATTTGAAGAATGAGTTGCACAGATCATTTGTTGCTTGGAAAAAATTTGATAGATTTGCTTTTCAATACTTGAAGAATTCAATTCAAACAAGACTATTTGCAAGATTATTCTAGACTGTTCCCGAAGATGCCGCATTGTTTTACCACATTGAGTGCGGTACGAGCCACCGGTGGGTGTTAAAATACGTAGCTGCTAAATATAAATATAACAGTAACTGTTATATTGCTGCTCATAAATCCGACCACCGGTATGAAATACGCTCCGAATACGACATAGCCGCACTTGTTAATGTGTTAATTCACTAGTATTAATGTGTTAATTCGTAATGTTTCAATGTAATTCACTAGCACCTGCTTAGCATGATGAGGTGTGAGCTGACGACCCCATTAGCAACTCGTTCACGTTGGCCCTAGCATATTAACAGATTCCACACCCGGAAGAATCAGTGAGAAATCGTCTAAATTGCGATGTTCGTTTGGCCTTGTTTGGGTAGCCCCGAGTCAGTTTTTTTCTCGGTTAAGAGGCGTAGGTATCAACCCTAAATGCATGAAGTGAATCGTTATCTAGACACTTTGATCAGTTCATTTTTCTGAGCGTCATCTTCATTGGTAAGCAATAACGTACTGCGAAGGAGTTAGGCTGCGTTAATTATTCCCTGACCAGTATTAACTTATTACCATTTCGTACAACTTCACACAGCTAGAAATGCATAATTGCATATTAAAAACCTGGCACTGCATATAGATGGAAAAAGCAATAGCAGCAATAGCTACTAGCAATAAGCTAAGCTATTACTACTTAAAGCTAAGCTACTACTTAGCAACTTAGCAATAAGCCAAGTTCAAGCATATCAACAATGCAGAAAATTCACGATACGTTCCAAGCAAGATTCAGCCAGCTTTAACCCTCTACCACCGCATGTCACTCTCCGGGAACATAGCTTACTAGTTAAATTATACATAAATTATTGAGTGTAGCAACCTGAGGACGTTTGTACGCAACAGAGAACATTTTAAAGTTGTCGTACGTGGCGGCAACCATCAGTGCAAGTCATTTTGCGCTCACTAGCAACGTATCTTTTTTTAGAAGTGGGCATGTAACGAAATTGCTCCGGTTACTATCAGCGGTATAGAGGGTTAAGCATATTCACTTCATCCTCCATCGAGAAATTCATGCACTTTTCAGGCAGTTCTGCGCTATTTATTCTTTTAAAAGCAGATGAACTTGACTCAAATCGAGGGCGTGAACATCTAGATGGGAGACTAGCATGCAGGATTGCACAGACGCTACCAAATCACGTTTGCACAACACGCGATCGTCTCACGCACCGAGATCTGCTGACGTGGATACAACACTAGCACTTGGTGTCTTGTGCTTAATCCAGGTCTGACAGAATTACAGTGCTGATGGCGGACTAGAAATATCGCGTGGCTATCATGCACTTTGATGGTCATGAGCTGGGACGTTCAAGGCGACTAAAAAAGAGGATGTATGCCATCAATAAGTTTTGCCAAAATTGAACAGAGACACAAGAATGAACCGAGAAAATTGAACAGGGATACATAAATGAACAGAGACAAAATTAAACGGAGATACATGAATGAGCAGAGACACAATTGAACAGCCAAATAAATGAACAGAGACAAAATTGAACAGAAAAATAAATGAACAGAGAGTCAGAGACAAAATTGAACAGACACATAAAGGAACAGAGACAAAATTGAACAGAGACACATGAATGAACAGAGACAAAATTGAACAGAGATACATAAATGAACAGAGACAAAATTGAACAGAGACATATATAGAAGCAACTAAGGGTAAGACAAACTTCCCGATTTTTCAAATCATTGACCATACTCAGTTGTGATGCACACATCAATTAAGTCAAGTCAACATATACACCATTATTTACGAGTGTTGAATGTCGCAAAGCGAAAAATTCAAATAATAAAAATACGAAATTTGTGAAAGATTAATCATATAAATAATACGACCGGGCATGTTTCAACTTAAATTATGCGTAAACTATTGAGTGTAGCAACCTGAGGACGTTTGTATTTTCAACTTAACCCTCTACCGCCGTATGTCACTCTCCGAGAACATAACTTTCAACTTAAATTATACGTAAACTATTGAGTGTAGCAACCTGAGGACGTTTGTACGCAACAGAGAACATTTTAAAGTTGTCGTACGTGGCGGCAACCATCAGTGCAAGTCATTTTGCGCTCACTAGAACGTATCCTTTTTGGGAAGTAGGCGCGTGACAATATTGCCCCGGTTACTCTTGTCAGGCGGAAGAGGATTAACTAATCTAAATATAAATAACTAATCTAAATATAAGACGATAATACGAATATAGCATTAACTAATCTAAACACAGGACGATAATTATGAAGTATACTGACATGGTTGGGCTGGGGTGCCCTAGGCATTAACTAATCTAAATATAAGACTATTTAATACGAATATGGCATTAACTAATCTGAATACAGGACGATAATTACGAAGTGTACTGACATGGTTGGGCGGAGGTGCCCTAGAGTCCCGGTACTGGAGGCCGAAGTAGTCGCGCTCGAGCAGCTCGAGGTGCGAGAAGACGAGGTCCAGCAGCGCCTGGCCCTTAGCCTGCTTCTGCAAGCGCCAGCCAGCGAAGAAAAAAAATAGTCTTCAGTAATTATTATTATCTTGGTGGTAATTATAGTGTTCAAAGTAATGAAGAGGTATTTTATTTAGATTATAGGTTTATTAGGTTATAAATTTCGTATCACTAACAGTCTTAGAAGCAATCATTATAATCTTGGTGGTAATTTAACTGCTCAAAGTAATGAAAAGGTCTTTTAGTTAGATTATAGGTTTATTAGGTTATAAATTTGGTATCACTAACAGTCTTAAGCAATCATTATAATCTTGGTGGTAATTATAGTGTTCAAAGTACTGAAAAGGTATTTTATTCAGATTATAGGTAATAACTTTGGTATAACTCATATATCATGCTGAACACCCCCTCACTCCTAGTCGAGTAACTCCCCTCCAATCCCCAGAATCCCCTACAAAAGGAACCCCTTGGCACGCCCCCTCCTCTGCAGACCCCTTATATACGCCTCCTATCCCGTGAGCCTCGACACGGAACCCACCTCCCCCCACCCAGCACGGGACCCACCCTCCTCCCCAGACAAGGTCCCTCCCCTCCGATACTGGACCCACTTTCCCCAAACACAGGATCCACCCCCCACCAAATCTCCAATACACGGGATCCACAACAAACCAATCCCCCCCACCTGTATCTCGAAGACGTGCGGAGAGTCGTCGAGCAGCAGCACTTCGACCCTGATGACGGTCAGGGCGCGGTGTACGGCCACCTCCGCCGCCCGCACGCCGTACCGACGGCCGCCCGTGCCGCGCCCCACCGTCCCAGGACTACCCTCCGCCACCTCCACCGCCGCTACAACCCCACCGCCACCTTCACCGCCACCCTCCACCATCGCTGCATCAAAAGCACAAAATGTCCCAAAAACTTAGAAGATCGTATTTTTTCAAATTATTTCTTCAATCAGAAAATAATTGGCTCATATTGACCAAATATTGCCACCTTATTACCCATTAACGAGCTGAAAACGGACGTAGCATCGATACGCCCTTTCGCAGGCTGAACTGGGTAAAAATAACCCACACAAGGGCATACAAGTGTTTCGCTATTGGGACAAATACTCACTTATTTCTCTGAGCTCTTCTCTACAATATTAGATATCTGGAACAATAGAAACCCAATTGATAATAATTCGTGTAGAATCTTAGTACTATCAACTCGTTGAAGAAATCATTTAATAATATGGGAGAACCATTCAACAATAACGGCACCGGAAACCCCATTTAAAACTATTTACTATCGCAGAAGAGACATTTGCATTCGTCACGCAAAAAGATTTAGGTTGAAATAGGATACTCAACTTTCAGTGATGAAACTGCGCTATCCATTGACAGTTTTGAAGCTATAAAGAACAGAATTGTTATGTTATATTTAGCATTTTGAAGACAAAGAACAGAATTTTTATATTATATAGCATTTTGAAGCCAAAGAACAGAATTTTTATGTTATATTTAGCATTTTGAAGCCAAAGAACATAATTTTTATGTTATATTTAGCATTTTGAAGCCAAAGAACAGAACTTTACGTTATATTTAGCAACTTTTCTGTGCAATGCACGCAACATGGAGTCTCAGGTGTGGCGAGAGCAGCGCCGGATGCGGTCAATTGGTGTGCCACTAACATCCTTGGCCCAAGCCATCTTCATGTGGCGTATAGCTCATGCTGCATTCCTATGCTGCATTGCTATGTTGCGCCACGACATATGCTGAATTGCTATGTTGCGCCGCGACATATGCTGAATTGCTATGTTGCGCCGCGACATATGCTGAAATGCTATGTTGCGCCGCGACATATGCTGAAATGCTATGTTGCGCCGCGACATATGCTGAATTGCTCTGTTGCGCCGCGACATATGCTGAAATGCTATGTTGTGCCGCGACATATGCTGAATTGCTATGTTGCGCCACGACATATGCTGAAATGCTATGTTGCGCCGCGACATATGCTGAAATGCTATGTTGCGCCACGACATATGCTGAATTGCTATGTTGCGCCACGACATATGCTCAAATGCTATGTTGCGCCACGACATATGCTCAAATGCTTCTTTACGTAGAGGACGGTCTTATAAACTAAAAGACCTTCATGTGGTTTATAGCGCATGCTGAATTCCTATGTTGTACCACGACATGTGCTGAAATGCTTCTTCACGTAGAGGACGGTCTTAAGCAAACTAAAACATCTTCATGTGGTTTATACCTCATACTGCATTCCCATGCTACGGTAGCATGGGAATGCAGTATGGCATATGGCCACGACATATGCTTAAATGCTTCCATCGAGGAAGCATTTCAGAGGAAGCTGAAATGCTTCCATCGAGTACCGTCAATGGAGGACGGTATACTATAAACTAAATAACAAACATGAAGCGAGGATAAAATCCTTGTTAAAACGGCCGTGTTGTGCAAATGTAACAATTGTTTTATTAAAATCCATTCCCAAAATAAATGGGAATCGTCGAATAAATTAGTCTATCAACAATCCATTGAAATTTCTCCTGAATACTAGAGTTAGAAAAATTCAGACCGTGTGCGGCAGCTGCCTTGAAGAACATGTTGCTCGACGGTATAAGCGAATAATTAACCATCGCAATGCGCGGGGAAATATGTCACGCTTTAATTAAACACCCGCAGAAAATCATCCAATTAACTCCACAAATTAAGCTAACGAATAACTATAATAATGGTCAAGATCTAAGAACAAATCGGTAAAAGTTCAGTTTTGAACTTTCACGAGTTTCGCCAAATAGCTTGGGCTAGCGTCACTGTTCACGATGTCAAAAGACATTGATTTAAAATCCCAGTGGGAATTAAGAAAGAGATTCAAGATGAATAAATCGTTAAAACAAAAAAGAATTGGGAGGTAGGCAATGGAGGCAAGACGGAACAAGTTGCTGGTTTCCGAATACCGCTCTGAAGACCACAATTCAAACCACAGGCATTTGTATAGCTTTCAAATTTGACCATGGAACGAACGAGGTTTATGAGTCATGTTTGTTAGTTGTAACTGTTATAAAAAAATATATTTATATTGTTCACACAAAAAATGTATAATGAAGTAGGAAACTTGAATTTCAATAATAAAACTGCAATATAAATTTACAGTTTTTGAAGCCATAGAAAAAGAATTTTATGCTGTAATTGGCAACTTATTCTGTTAGATAATTCTGTATAATTCTTCACACATTAAGGCTATCATCTATATGTTAATTATTTTAAACTGCCTTACATAAAAGCATGCAATCGCCGCAAATGGTGATGAAATAATATGATTTATTCTCGAGAAATTCCAATCAATGTAAAAGCCATTTCCCGACACCTGAAATAGCAAGGGCTGCAGCATTTACGGAAACGGCAACTGCAGCTATAGATACATTTGGGGACAGCCTTGCCACAGCAGCTTGGCAGTCCACCAACACCAGCTCACCAACACAGCTGCATACGACTGCACTTATACAGCTGCCTTTGATCATTGACAGCCAGCCACTAAGATCGCTGTGAACGCATCCACACGAACAGGTAATTCTACACTGAGATGAACAGCGTCTTGGTGAGCAGAAATCTCTGTATCGAAGCCGGTGCACTATATCTGCCATGGCTACATTGACGTGCAGTTTTCACCAACAGGACAAGCGTTATCAACGTAGGTGTGTATCCGGTTGCATGCAACGATTTACGTAAATATCGTACGTACACAGACAGACGATAGCTTCCTACACATGCAACATAGAAACTGCAGATGCCCTTCAAGTTCTCAAACCATGTTAACTGCCTGATAAGTTAGCTTCCTATCGTTCAATCCTTTATTTTGGATACCGTAGGAGTTAAAAAAATATAACTCACTACTCACTGCATTGAGTGACAGAAAGCGCATTTTCATTTTCTCGTCGACGAAAACGTGAAGAGTCACGGACGGACAGACAGACAGACAGACGGACGGACATGCCGAGCAAGCGCTTTTTTCCCATACATGAGAAAATGCGCTAAAAAACAAGGCCAGGAGTCTTCAAGCTGACATATTTGACACACGACAAGATCTTTCACAAATATTTACATTAATAAACAAGACCAGCTCCAGAAGAGATCCTCGTGTATATGATCTCCACAGACCCATCTGAACTTTCCCCAGAGTCTCGAGCGTGTGTATATACCGTATACCGCATATAGAATCAATTCTTTAACATCAGAAATGGCATTCATTTTATGCCTTAGTGCACGTGAAAAATACTCAAAATAAAATTATCAGAATTCTTACTGTTTCGTTTTATTTTGGTCATTTCTTTGATAAGCAAATTTCAAACTATACAATTCAGTTAAGTTAATCCCAGTTAAAATCATTGTGCCATAAATATTGCTGCAACTATCGTTACTTTTCAGCAATGTTATTCAGTGCCAATAATTAAATTTCACACACAGGATACAGTTCATAAACAATTCTGGGCCTATATTTTCAAAAAAAAGTTAAGAGATCGTAAGTTCATCAGCCAATCATTGACGGCCTTTCAAGCAAAATTCACCAATCGCAGACAAGAAAATAGAGCGTAAGTACTTACGTTCACTTAGCGAGTTTTGAAAGTATATGCTCTGGGGCCATACTTTCAAAACTCGCTAAGAGAACGTAAGTACTTACACTCTATTTCCTTGTCTATGATTGGTGGATTTTGCTTGAAAGGCCGTCAATGATTGGCTACTGAATTTACAATCTCTTAACTTTTTTTAAAGTATAGGCCCTGGTATGTAGACAACCTTTCAGTACATATTAAACTCACCTCAGCACAGGGGACCTCCTTCATAACATGGAACAGCCTGGAAGCAACAAGACACTGAAGCGCTGCACAGCATCACCAGCACTACCACTTGTCAACCAAACCAACCACAGTATTGACCCAGTTCTTCAGAAATATTTTATTTCAAGTATTCTGAATTTCAATTCAGAATGCACTGCTAATTTTAACAAAAGTTTTAAACTTCTTTGTTTTCTGCAAAATTCAAGGGTATTGGCTGTAAAACAGATAATATTTAAAATAATTATTATGAATTAAAACGTTTCAGAAGTTTAAAGCAAACTCATCAAGTTTTAAATAGAAAAGCCCAACATTGCATTGCTTTTCTAGAGCATACCTACAGAAATGAGTACAGTAATTTGGTTCACTGGGTCTCATAAAAGTTGTGTAGGATTTTATCTTCATAAGTCACATAAATGGTATCCAGAAAAATAGATACCTATTTAGAAACATTAACCTCTATTACTATTTTATCGCTTTCATTAAGTGATTCTTTGCAATTCAGATTCATTGAAAGTGATATTAGTATTTAATACTAATTTATGAATTATTAAATTTGTATTAGCAGCATATGAACCACACACACAATATCAGTTATTCTGTTCACTGCAAAATTAAAACAACATAAATCTTGAAATGTTTTCTAGATTAAACAAAATAATAAAAGAGTCTTCTCCCACAGCAATAATGCCAGAGGGCAGCTACCATCTGTTAGTATAGTATCATTATTGAACATTGTATAACCAGCAAAAAAGAGTTTTTGTACAGCAATTCTTGTAGATTTTCAGTCATTAGATTTCTGATTAGATCAGTTTTTTTGATTGGTAGGTAGGTATCATATAAGTACAAATAGGATTGATATAAAAACAAAATCTATTTATTGAGAACCAGCTTAGTATACTAGTTTCTAAACTATGACGTCCACAATATTGCTACTGCTGGACCCACATCAGCTTTTTGCTGTCACTGAATCCTGATGAGGCTTTATCTTTGGTGAAGTGCTAATTGCTAAATAATTTTGATAATGTCTACTTACTTAACCAGAGCAAAGTAAAGCTACAAACTTAACTCATTTGTTGCTTTATTCAAGATCATTTTAGTGCTAGAAATAAAAGCTTCAATAAAAAATTGAAGCAGCATTAAATGTTTGAAAAAGTACATAGTACACTACAGAATAGAAAGAAGGATATATGTAGGCAGACTCTTGACTCTAATGCTTAGAGCATCCAGAAAAGAAATTTAAGAATGGCAGTTAAGATATTCAATATTCAATGCATTAAAATATCAGTTAACATTCACAATTTTGCATGCTCAAATATTATACATAAAACTATTAAGCCAAATTGAAATTATAGGAATGTTTTTTTTTTTTTATAATATGATTCTCCGTTTGTAGTACCTCACTTGATTCTAAATATTTTAAAATTAAAAATTGGAAACTGAGTTTCTAAGTATTTCAATACAAAAAGGAAAATATAGGTTGTATGATTCTGGCTGGTCATAAATCTATCACTCCAATCAGATGACCGACCTGAGTCCAAGTTTTGGTCCTGCATTACATCCAGATGAATGTGACAAACAGTGACTGGATAAAATTAACAGTAAAAATTACTTATAATTAGCACCTTCATATATACTTCTAAAATATCATTAATATATATAATGAAAAAAAACATATATTTTTTTAGAATCTGTTCATTTTTAATTTCCTCATCTACTCAAGATTTAAAATAATTGCTTATGTGTGATTAACGGTAATGATGGTATCCATGATACTTTACTGGTCTACTAATACTAATAGGACTAAAAAATTAATTTGAGATAGTCAAATAATTCTGTGCTTTGATACTCTCTGCAGTATCATCAATAACATGTAGCATGCCTACCAAAAATAGTTTTCATTTTCCAACAATAATTTTATATTTCAGTGATCAAACTATATAAAGATTTGATAAAATTATTCTGTCAAAATTTAAGCAGCTATTCTATTTTTCCTACCTACTTCTCCAATTGTTTTAAAATATGAGTGAAGTGACTGGCAAGTGGGCAACTCATGTGCAGGAATGGAATTTTCCAACTTACCACTGAAAACTTGAAGCTCTAAAGTGACAAATCTAAAATTTTTACTACAGTTGGAATCTTGCAACCCAATCATGCACTTCAATGAATAAATTAGTATAGTTTGGCAGAATTTGTTCTTTTAAGCAGGTTTCCTTAAAGACCACTATACCAGAGAATTTGTTTAATTGATAATTAATATTGATCAATAAAACAAATTCTTTGGTCTTTATTGAAACCTGTTTAATGAACGATTAGATAGAAAGTTATTCATCTAGCAGGTATTTCCCAGTTCCAAAATTGGCAGGAAAGATCCAATTGTGCCTCAAGAGGTAGATAGGCTATATTCCACTCATGTTCATGTTTTATTAATTCAATAGATCTGTATCTGTTACTTGCAACTTGCAAGTTGGAGTTGGACACAACTTAGGGTAAACGCGGTATATTCCGACATCGTGGGTAATTCCGTCACCTCTCTAGTTTTTCCTTTATATTAAGCTTTGTTTTAGTTCCATGCGTTCGTTGATGGTTGAAATGGTGACATCATACATTAGCACGTCGAACTAATGCCAAAACACTAGGTCTTGGCCATCTAGCAGGAAAATATTAAGATCCAAAGAGAGACAATGCACACTACCAAGTGAGATCATCGAAAAATATGTCAAATTTGACAGTTGACCTTGCTCTCCCAAATAGTGAATAACTGTTTGTATAGGAAGAATATTATGGTTTGAGACTTTTAAATACGTCTGTGAATATATTCGGAATCCTTTAAGTATACTTGTATTCGCTGATTTCAAGTGGTAAATAAATTAATAGATGATTAATTTGAGAAATGGATTCAGACACATGAAAACTAATTCCGTCACAACTTGAATTGGACACACACAGATCATTCCAAGCTATGTACAAAAATTAAAATTTGCTTAATTGAAAGCTTAATAGTTGTTAATTAAAAGCGTAATTAAGTAGTGTTCAATATTCATTAGTGTTCTAATTCAAAGCCGTGTTGTATTCCAATACAGCTCATACAGCCAACGGAATTCGAACACGTGGATGACGGCATTATGTATCAGTAGAATTTGAAGCGCGGACGGAATACACCTCACCGCGTGCCGAATATTGCCACACACAGTGTCGGAATATAGGCCTATAGGCAGTGTGGAATTCTAGAGGGATATTAAATTAACCAGTACACATAGCATATTGGAAAGCAGGACCTGAAAGGTTGGAAAGTCCAGGAACTTTCCACTTCCAGTCCATTTTATTATATACATTATACATATCCTATTACTTTTCAACTGTGATTGGTTTATGGGATTGTGATTTTAGCCCCTTCCAGCTTTCCAGCTGTGATTGGTTAATGGAGTTGTAATGTTATCTGCTTTCTAGCTGTGATTGGTTGCTGGGGATGCTTTCTAGCTGTGATTGGTTGCTGGGGATGCTTTCAAGCTGTGATTGGTTGATAGGGATGCTTTCCAGCTGTGATTGGTTGTGCCCATAAGCCCCGCCCCCAAATATGGTATATGTACTACAGTACCGTAAAATGGGGTAACTTAGACCACTTTTCATTTTTTTTACAAAAACCCCCACAACTCAAAAACTATTTGACATAGAAAAATTGTGTCAATGGGCATTAAAGGCCTAATACTGAGGCTACATAACACAATAGAAAGATTTAAAAAGTTTGCATATCTAATAGGTTAAAAAATTAAAAATGTGACCCATGAAAAAAAGCTATTATTTAAAGCCTGTCAGAGTACCCCCTCCAATTTATTTATTTTTTGGTTGAATAACTCCAGGTTTTGATGCATTGTAGTAGAACTCTTCTAGTTACATATGCAAATGACAAATTTTAGGAAAGTGTCATAGTTTGCAAATGGGCGGCGCCGCCCCCAAATGGGGTAACTTAGACCACCTAATGTCAGCCCTGACGGGGTAACATAGACCGGCTTGGAATTTAATATAAAATTACCATATATAACATATTTTATGTTTGACAGCCTATTTAAGTTTTTTCTTTATGTTTCAGACTCTAAAGAGTCTTATATATGGTAATTTTAACTTAATATCCAAGCCAGTCAATATTACCCCATCAGGGCTGCCATTAGTTAGTCACATTTCCCTCATTATGGGGTGGCGCCCCCCATTTGCAAACTATGACACTTTCCTCAAGTTTGTCATTTGCATATGTAACTAGAAGAGTTCTACTACAATGCACCAAAACCTGGAGTTATTTGGAGTTATTTTACCAAAAAAAAAAAATAATTGATTTTACCACCCGGTCTAAGTTACCCCAAGAGCTGGGGTAACAAAGACCATCACTTTTTTTGAAATTACATAAAGACTATGAGAGGCAGGAGCCAGCAATTTATGGTGAGTGAAGCTAGAGTATAGACCTGTATTTTGCATGTTTCAATTCAAGTTTAATTTAGCTAGTAAGAAAATGGCATCATTTATAAGAAAAAAAGTGGTCTAAGTTACCCCATTTTACGGTACTGGTTAACTAAATACTTAACTTAAACTTGATCATTACAAACAAAAAGCCTGGAAAAATTTCAAAAAATCCATTAAATAAAAGAAAAATAGAGAATATCTATCAAACAAGAGACATTCAAACAATTTTATAACAAATCTGAGGTACTATACAACTGAAACAGTTTGTCCACTTTTGATCCTCCTTTTCATTTATAGTCAGTCACCTGGCAGAGCACTGTACGGTATCTAAGGAAAGCATTCCACCTTGGGTGGAAAGCTATTTTATAAGTGAACCTCCATTTCTAGAATTCCACACTGCGTATAGGCTATAGGGATTTGGTAGGTTTGCATTCTAAAGGCTTTTATATAAATATGGCAACATTTTGTGACGTTTCATTATTGCTGGCGCGTAGTACGGTGTTTTGCAAGTCACATAAAGCAAACAGAACTCGAGTAACGCATACGGTTTTTTTTTATAGTTCTTCATTTCTCGATGCGTCCTTAATGTGTCGGAATATACCGCGTTTACCCTACTTAAGAAATTGGTTAACAGTAACTGAGTAACAGAATCCCACATTTTTGTGTGTTGTTCTTTCTAATTGTGAATTATTGGAATAATGGAATTTAAATATTTATAAATTAATCAAACTCTACATTTATTCATGTTCATTATTGATAACTTTT